TCCTTGTCTAGAAAAAGAAATTATGGGGATTTCCCAGCGAGTACTCAGAAATCTAACTGGTGGGTGGTGGGGTTGGGGAGGTCATCCGTTGCTTCCACAACTGAGAGGCACTCTGGGAATCTGAAATCTCAAGATGTAGTCGGGAACATGTGTAGGTGCTGCGCTGGGGGCTGGTGAGAACACACACGAGGCAGAAAGGCCGGTCCGGACAACAATAGGCCTGAGCACAGCAGGGCACTGTAGATGGATAGAATGAGTCCTGGAAGCAGACACCAGTGCAGAGGACAGGGTCCTCCTGCCAGACAGCCACGCTGTCAGCTAGCTTTCAAAGCACTAGGTTATTCTGCATCAGAACAAGCAGCAGTGGGGACGCCTTGGGTGGCTCAGTTGGTTAAGCGTCTGCCTTCGGCTCAGGTCATGATCCCGGGTCCTGGGATCGAGTCCTGCATCGGGCTCCCTGCTCCGCGGGGAGCCTGCTTCTCCCTCTCCTCCCTGCTCATGCTCTCTTCTCTTTCTGTCTCTCAAATAAATAAATAAAATCTTCAAAAAAAAGAACAAGCTGCAAGCTGCCTTAGGGCATGGCCTAACAGAATCAAATCTCTAAACCAAAGGTAGATCCAGGAAGACAGAATTAAAGGAAGCGGAGTTCAAGTATTCTCTAATGGTTGGTCCGATGGTGGAGGAAAAGGAGAGGAAAAACAAAATAATGATGACGGTAAACTCTTAAGACATGCTTACTCTCTCCCAGGCACCATCTGCATATTCCAACTTCACTAACCCATTCTATTCTAACAACAATCCCACGAGGGAGATATTATTATTATTATCACCCCCATTTTACACACAAGTAAACTAAGCCATGGAGAAGTCACATTGCTTGTCCAAAGATCCTATAGTTGGTACGTGTTGAAGCGGATTTAAACACAGGCAGCCTGGCTCATCTACATGTTTTGCTTGATCAACGTCAGCATGCTTCAGAATCACCCAGAGGTAGGATTGCTAGATAAATACAAGACACCCAGTTAAATCCGGATTTCAGATAAACAATAAATAATTTTTTAGTGTATGTCATGTCCCATGCAATATTTGCTAAACCTGGCAACCCTACCTGGAGGGCTTGTTAGAACAAATCACTGGGCCCCACCACCAGAGTCTGATTCAGAGGCCTGGGCAGGGCCTGAGATTCTGCATTTCTATGGGTTCCCAGGTGATGCTGGTCCAGGGACCACGCTCTGAGAGCCAGTGACTTACACTGTGGGGGCTGCATGGCACTAACTTAAAAAAAAAAAAAAAAATCCGCTGCCGAAGTCTATAAGTGGGACTATTTCACCTTGAGATCCAGATTTTCTAATTATATTGAAAATGTGAAAGATCTGGCTACACTAGGCCCACATTCCCAGGTAGCAGTTGTAGCGGAATAGCAGCTGACCCTTTTAGAGGGGGCTCCGTGCCCTCAGACCCCAGCTCCCCACCACTGCTATCTGTCTCCCCACCACTGGCTGAGTCCACTTATTTATAATCATGTGTGTTTTTTTCTCCTCCTTTCTTATAGCAGGACTAAGAGAAAAGCAAAATATTTCTTCTTCTTGTGCCTCCGTTAAAAGTGGGCATCAAAGACCAAGTGTTCTAGGGGATGCTCTGCCATGCACTCATTTATATTTGCTGCCTGACTCCTTATAAGCATGTGGATTTAATCTCTTACTTAGTTTTTCTTATGAAAAATTCTATCAACCTTGTTCATGTCTAGAAAACAGTTTAGCAAACTCTTGCTTCACGGAGAGGCCAAAGACGCAAACAAACATCAGCCTCACTCAAGTCACTCACTACAAATTCCATATTACTAAGCATGGAATTAATTAGGTTTATTGTATTTTTGAAATCCAAACACAGTTTCAATTATTACTAGTCACTAATGGCTTATAATGAAGGCAGAGCTTGTTAGCTAAGCAAACAACTGGCATGTTTGTTGAAAGTGTAAATAGAAGGGAAATTCATGAATTAAATGAATGAATTCGCTGATTGTTCTCGCTAGGCTGTAAAGGAGCATTCAGCTGCCACGATATATATCACCACCTTTGCTGAAAGGCTTAGCCTGCTCGAGTTATCTTTATCCGGTCAGAGATCTTCTCAGTGGTCGCTTACAAAGTAAATGTCTCTCTAAATTTTTTAAAGTACTCATCTGCATCAGCAAATGCCATTAAGGATAAGGAATCACCTGGCTATGGGGGGGTTCATAAATAACTTTGCTTTTACGAACAATAGCCATATCCCCTAATCTTTATTTGACTCCACAAACAGACTAAAACAGCATGCCTGAGGACATAAAGGGACAATATACCTCATATTTTCCAGGGTGGTCCTAGAAAGTATGGGGCAGATGGTCATTCTCAGAGGTATTGAACTTAACAGCATTTCCCTTTAAAAGGTAATAAACTGCACCAGAAACAAAAAACAAATAAAAGGTTTCGCTCTCCAGTCTCCTGGTTTTTAACTATGCTTTTCATTTAAAATTCCTAGTCTTTGCCTTTCTTCTCTCCAAATGGAAGTTCCGTGTTTATTGGATATCTATAGTTAATTCCCATTTCTCTCGGATGTGTTCACCATGCCGGAAGTGTCGGGGAGGGTCATAGGAGTTCCTCTCCTAAATAATTCTTAGTGCCCATGCGCCCATTCCTGGGCGGTTGCCTTCTGGTCTTGTGAAAGACACCTGGATCTGTTTGCAATATGTTTAGCTGCAAGTAACAGAAAAGACAACTCAGGCTGGCATACACGAGGAGAGGTTCTTGTCCTTCCTGTAACAAGACCCCCCGAAGAAGGTGGTTGCTGGGGTTGGTTCAGTGACTCAGCTGTGGCAGCAGAGCTCTGGGTCTATCATCCCACTTGCTAGCCATTCTTACTGTGTTCACTCTCATCCTCAGGCCTGCCACCTCGTGGTCCCAAGTTGGCTACCACAGCTCCAGGCACCACATTCATGTTCAACATAGAACAAAAAGGTGGGAGAAAAGGGGTGCTGTGCCAGCAATATCTCCCCCTTTCATCAAGAAAGCAAAACGTACCCTAGAAAGCCCATAGCAGATTTCCTCTCACTGGCTACCCCAAGCTCAGACAAGCAACCTTCAAGACAGCACAGGGAAGAGGCTCTTTGGCTTTACCTGATTCCATGGCAGAGATGGGCAGGTAGATGGGGTTTGGTTATGGGTGTAGGGCCGGCTACAGCACCCTAGTGCAACCCTCCTTCTCACAGATGTTAGAGTGCCATTCCTTGGGTCTCTTAGAATGCAAATACTTTCCGAAGAAATAATGCACTAAAAAGAATTCACACTGAAGTGTTAGGGATGTATCTCAGATTTTTCTAGCCAGGAGGCAATCTGAACATGGGGACTGTAGGATGGGCAAGTAGATATATTTCAAGGACATAGTCTACCTACTTCCCAACTTAACCTGATGCTGGCTGACATTTGGACTTTTATTTTACCTTCTTACCCTCCTGGAAAGACTGAAAACCCATTAAAGCTAACAGCAATGCTATATATTATGGTGGTTTTTAAGAATCAGGCTTTGGGGCCAGAGCCCTGGGGTTGACTCGTGGCTCTCTCATTTACCAGCTTCGTCACTGTATCAGTTTCCTAGTGCTACTGTAACAAATGACCACAAATCCAGTGCCTTAAAACAATACAAATCTATCATTTCACAGTTCTGCAGGTCAGAAGTTTGACACTGGTCTCACCGCTTCTAGAAGTCAGGACACTGGGCCTCGTGTGTGTCGGGTAGGAGGTGACTGGAAGGGGGCTGAGAGGGGTCTTCTGGGGCATGGGTCACATTCTGTTTCTTGATCAGGGTGCTAGTTACAAAGGTATATTCAGTGTGTGAACGTTCAACAAAGCTGTACACTTAAGTTGCACACTCTCTACAATGTACTGTACTTCAGTGAAAAGTTAAAAACAGACAAACAAGTATGTTGGGAGGTGGCCATTTTCTTCTTGGAAAAATGAAGGCAAAGATTAAGCCAGAGTCCCGTTGGTAGGGACAGGAAGGAGACCAGAGATTGGGCAGCCTTCCTCTCGTCCTTCAAGCTGAGTGTACTCCAGGTCAGTTCCCAACACTCATTATGTGTGTATTTTAAATCTCTTGAGGAAAAGGTTTTTTTTTTTTTTAATTTCTTTTGCCTTAGAGTCACATTTCTAGTGCAAGTGAAAGGTACCTTGTATCCTTCAGACGCACCTGTAAAAACAGAACTGATACTGCTATATATCCACGCCTGCTTCATTTTCTTTCAGACACAGTGGAAAACATACCACTATAATAAACCCCTTTTCCATCCCGGCCAGCTGGAAAATTACATTATGACTGAAATGACATCATACAGCTATGACACCAAGCGAGCGGCTGCTCTGAGAAATCCGGGTGAGGCAGTGACAGCATGGATGCGAATGCCACTCGGCCATGAATCCCACCTTTTATTAGCAAATGGCTTTTTTATTGCCATGACATTTCGAAAATGAAACTGTGGCAGCCACACTGTCGGAGGCCATTGATCACCTAACGTCCCTTATCGCTGAAACTAGCCACATGGGTCAAACAAGATGAGACCGGGAGGAGGAGAAAGCTCGTTTTTAAAGACCTAGTTCTAAAGGCGGAAGACCAGGGCCTGGGGCCAGGGCAGCGGTGCCTCCCAGGGGGTGGGCTGGCCGTCCCTCTCCTGCTATCAGTTGTCTCTAAAGTGGCCTCAAGTAGTAGTAGTCATAATAATAGCATAAGCAGTAGTAGTAATAATAGCACCTACAATAACATTCTTTGATGTAGAATACTGACGTCCTACGACATCACACTCTAAGCAAAACCCAGCATGCCGATTAGGCAAATAGAATAGGACAAGGCCCTGACTTTCCTCCATCTTTTCAACTTTTGGGATGAACCATATGAAACTGCTGATATTTGAGCATGTTCAACACCCCAAAATGGGCAATCTCATACGGCTCGTCCTATAGACTGTCCCTCCCCGACCCAAGATCCTTCTCTGCAGAGATGTCAGGAGCTGCCACAAGATCTGGGAAAATTCCCATACTTCTCAAGCAGCAGAGAATTAGAAACACTATTGCATTCCACGGTTGAAGTGCAGAAGACAGGTCCCGGGCAAATGACACCGTGCTGTCGTCAGAAAGCGGCGGACCCTACCTAGGTCAGTGCCCCAGATGAGTGCCCCACCCTGGCCTGGGCCAGCTCAGTGTGAAGGCAGGTGTCTCAGGTCAGGAACAGATCCTGAGGCCAAAAGCAGCAGCAGGAAGGGCCAGAGCAGGGAGACCAGAGGGAGGCCGAGGGGATCTGTAGCTGAAGTGCCGCATGGCTTGTGACCACCTAAGACCCATGTCCGCACCTGCAAGCCAGCAGGAATGAGCCTGGACATGACGGGAGAGAAGCTGGAATCCCAACCGGGTGGTGTGATTTCAGCGACCCAGTCTCGCACAGATGCCTGACCCTTCCATAATGGAGTCAACCCCCATTAGATTCGGGTATTATATGGTCCCAGGGCCCAGAGGGAGACAGACAGCATACTATTTCATAGCCACTGCCCACAAGATGAACATGCATGCCACATTCGTTTAGCCAGCTGCCAGGAAGGGCTCTGGGAAAGAGAACAGGTTCATTCTGATGGAGGACTACAGATGAGGAGGAAAGATGAGCGTGGGGAGCACTGTCCAGGAAAAGAACTTAGCCCATGAGGGTTGGGGGTGGGTGGGTAAGAAGAGCAGATCTTAGGAAGGAACACGGGATGCAAAGGCCTGTGTAGAATCTGGCTCACAGGTGGGAGATGGGCTGGGCCAGGGAGATAAGCTAACAATGAAGCTGGGGAAGGTAAGAGACTGGTTCTGGAATCCCTGGACAGTCCATCCAAGAGAGATCTTACAGACCCACCCCTCCTCAGCCTACATATGAGAAAACAAAGACCCAGAGAGCCAGCTTGTTCATTCCACACGATGGGAGCTTCCTCTGTGCCACAGCTAATTCATGTCAGACCCAAGTCTGACAGACATTTTACTCAAAACTCTTTCACAAAATCCCAGTCACAGCAGAACCAGCAGAGGCCTGCTGCCTAAAACTGTTGGCTCCCTCAAAGCTAGGAGCTCGTGGCGACTGAGGGCAGAAATCCTCTGCAGCCACAGCCACAAAATGCTTCTGAGATGAACATCATACCGCGTAACAGAGGCTGCTTCCTGGGATGCTCCCTCCGGTAAGATCTGGCCTTCTCTCCTGCTGACAGAGGGCTACCCTGAAGGAAAGCTTCAACTACACCGCCTTTTTTTTTTTTTTTTTTTTTGCTGTTTTTTGTTTTGTCTCTCACCAGTTTCACATGGGAGGAAAATAACAACAAAAGCAGAAAAAGAAAACACTCCATACTATTTTCTAAGTATAAAAAGTGTCATATCTTCACTGTGTAACTCTAACGGTGTACCTGATTGTTTTCGAATTTTCCTCTCTTGTTCTTTCATTCATTTTTTTTTAAGGCTCTGCAAATTGACCTTTGGGTTGAACACGTCTCTGGAAAGAAAGCCTGGCATAAAGAAAAACTGGGTTATGCTGGAGCGTCAATGCAGGTAACCTTAACTACAGTGTTTGCAAAAGCAAACCCTGTAATGTATGAAATAAAATATTAATAGCCATTACCTCAGTTCTTCTGAGAACAGACCTGACTCACAGTTCTCGTGTGGCGTGATCTCCACACATGTGCCTCACCGTGAACACTGCTCACGTTACCAGGCGATAGAAGCCTCAAAGCAGGCAAGACCAAGCCGGGTATGTGTTTTTATTCCATAATGTCATGGGCAACGTTGCTTATTTTGGCGGCTAAGTTCAGCTCTCCTGAATTTACCACCTAGTCATTTAAGACTAATCACCTAAACACATACCAGGAGGGTTGGCAAAATTATTTTTAACTTAAAAAGGAAACTACTAGAATAAGATTAACATCTCTAGGTTATTTATCAGCGGCTAGAGATGCAATCACTCAGCTGAACTCTCTGACATTTGAAAGCACCAAAAGGGGCAAAATATTTGTGTTAACAGATGTACTTCCAAGGCCTCATAGTTGCGAGTTGCAAATGAACATAATTAGATTTTTAAATTCCGCGTGCACGGTGCTTAAGTATGGCAAAGACCTTTAGCTTCTCGGGGGCTTATGGTAAGTCTGGTTTCTCCTTTTTCCCTCTGTCCACTGTCTTCTTGATAAGTTTTAGGTTCTTAGTGGCCTAAAAAGCATCTATTTGACATTTTTGCATATGATGATTACCTAGCGGAGTTAAAGAAGACAAGTCAAGTGCCTACCCTACTACCTAGCACACAGTAAAAACGTCACAAATGCGAGTCCCTCCTTCTAAGGAGCACTGCTAAGTGCTTTCAAGTCCGTGTTTAGAATTGATTCTTCAAGTCCCCCATGAGATAGTGTAAAGTGAACAGTCCGCTTTTATTGGCGGGGGGCCCGGAGGGAGAGGCTAATTTACTCCTCCAGACGGGATGCTGGCACAGTCCGCGGCTGGACCGAAACTAGCACTCTCGGCCACAGCTTAGCGGCAGGGCTCCTAAGCTAAACTGCTTCTTTAGGTGGCCTGCCACACCGAGGTGTGTTTTTTAAATCTGTGCAATAAAATTTGGTGTGGTTGGAGAGGTGGCGGCGGACGGGAACCCACCCACAGGCAAATGACGTCAAAAAGCTAGGGGGAAACATTGGGCTTCTCTGTTCTCGAGAAGCTTCTGCTATGTTAAGCAACCTGAGAAGGAAGCTGACTTTCCATTAAAAACCAGCCGCTTTGGCAGTCGTCAGAGACAGCCTGGGGTCTTATACTTCCCCTCTCAGGAAAAGTGGGGAAAATAATTTCCATAAGTTGGAAAGGAAGAGACCTGGAGTTCAAAGAGTTTCAGAGCTGGAAAGGCACTTAATGGTCATTTGGTGTAACCACCACTTCCAAACAGCAAGGAAGGAAACTGAGGCTCAGAGCAGGCTGCGGACTGCATCTTGGCCCCTGGCTGTCCAGAGTAGCTCACTCTCTAGACCTTTACAGATCCTGCACCTTTGTCAGTGGCTCAAAGGAGAAAATACCTTGCATTCCAGTTTGCAGAGGGGCTGTTTCAATGGAGGTTTGTGGTTGGCCAAAAGGAGAAATGTCCTGTCCACTGATACTCTGAGGCACAAGATCTTGCTTGGGAAGAAGCTCTAGAGAGGCTGGGATATGTATGTATGTGTGTGCATCTGGTGTGTGTGTGTGTGTGTGTAAGGGGTACACAACAGACCCTTGCATGTGGGGTGTGTGTGTGTGTGTGTGTGTGTGTAAGGGGCACACAACAGACCCTTCCTCCATACACCTTTGCCCATAACAACTTGATATGTGAGGTCAAGAGCACTTTGCAGCAGACCCTGAACCCTGGGACTCGGAAACCACACTGAACGGGGACTGGGGCCAACCACTAGATCTCTCAGATCGTCAGCTTTCTCTTTTACAGAGAGGACCCTGAGGTGACAGCTAAGAGACAACTGAGAAGCAGCATGCAGAAGTCACCAAGCAGGGTTGTCCACACGTGGCTGCAGGTTCAGCTCTTCCCCATGTCTTTGGGAAACCAATAAGCCTGATTTGAAAATACCATTATGTCACTCACAAATGTGTTTGTATCTTCTTCAGTAAATTAACTCTCCCACTGGTGACCTCCCAAAAGAGAAATTCTTCAATTAATGAATAGTAATACCCTTATAATTTTAAAAGGCCCTTCACATTCATCTGTTCTTTCTCTTTTTAATTGAACCTCAACAGCTTTGTGAGGGTTGTGGATTTTTCCCGTTCGGGTGAGAAAATGAAGGCCAGAAAGAGGAAAAGACCGACCTGGAACAGCAAGCTCGTGTGTAGCTAGCCTGTGTTCCAGCTCCTCTTCAAACTGGACTCTGGACACGTGCACAGCAGGGCCAGCTTCGGTTCCATGGTTCACAAAGTGAATTCATTCAGGGAACATAAATTCTTGGTCCAAGACTGGGTTGGACAAACAGGACACAGAGGGTGAATACCGGTGCTGAACCATCCATTCATTCAGCAGACGTTTACTGAGAGCCTGCTTAAGTGCCAGGCTTCTGTGCTTGGTGCTTAGGATACATTCATGAACAAAAGGGGCAGCGACTGGGGTGATCAGAGAGATCACAGTCTAGCAGGGGGCGACATGCGGGAAGTGCAACTCTACTTCTGAACTGAGTCATTCACTTCTTTCCCTCTCTTGGTTCCCGTGTTTTTGTGGTACGAATTCAGATCTGCACCCCCACCCCCACCTGCTTTATGTTCGGCTCACTCAAGAGCCTCTGCAGCCCTCCCCTCCCAGGCCCTGATCTCCACTCCCTGCTGAAATGACAGGGGTGATGGATGGTTCTGCACAGTGTCTAACTGCTTTAGTCCGAGTGTTGGCAGTTGTTAGTGATGGGCGTTATTATCTGATCATTGATAGATTTCATTATGTGTCGCTTTCTATCATGGCGTTTACTGGAAGAGTGTGTGTGTGTCCCAGAATATATTTTATGATAGGTTTTAAGATGGTTGGGGCAAAAGTGTGAGGTGAGCAACTTTCCAATAAGTGCTCAATGACCTGTAGAGAGAAGGTACATTTGAATGACAAGGCTATCCCTGTAAATATAATGATAGGAAAGAAATGACAGAAGAGCATATATTTTTACTGTTCTGATTAAACTAGACTTTTAAATTAAATTTTTATCCTTTTTCTTTTCTATATGTAACTCTTAGTTTCTTGACCCACACAGGCTGGCTCCTTCATCTTACCTCTCTGCTATCTGAGGGCCTGGAACCATTATTTAATGCAATCCTTACACAATAATTACTTTTATAACATTTTACAACCACTTTCCCTAAACAAAATGTAAGTGGAGCATAAAGAAACCAATATTTTAAATTTACCAAAAGATCACTGACCGCTCTTGAGCTTGTTACTGAGATGAATGAAATGCATTCTTTAATCAGGAAAAAAAGGACGAAAGGGGGAAAAAATCACATAAAAGCATAAGTAGCAACTCAAAAATTATTTTCTTGGTTTATTTTATGTTGCAGCTACACAAGTCATCCCTTTTTGTGTATCCATCAATAAGATATCTGTTGTGCTTTTGTACAAAGAACAAAGATGCTTTTATCAATTCTCAAAAGTCTGTAGGACAAACCATTCATGCTGTCAAACCTCTAAAACCCTTTCAGCAAATAATGAAATCCATCAGTGATAAATGTCAACATACTAATTTGTTAAATGCAAAACAAAAGCAACATTCAGACAAGGCGCTTCATTTCATGTTATATCAGCACTCCAATTTGTACCAAGTTTATGGCAACCCACAGATCATGCAATATTAAACAGGACTGTATTATAATGACTAAAACTGGAACAATAAACTCTCCTTAGCGAGGAGGCTAACAGTGCAGCTGAAATACATGCTATGATTCTAGTACATTCAACTCTTTCCAAACTACCAGAATTTCTGCGAAGACACCTATTTCTAATAGAGTGGCGGCTTAAATGACCCAAATACATGGATTTCAGGTAGATAAAAAAAGAAAATTGGAAAATAAAATTGAAGTCCTTGGGAAGACTGAGAACTCAGTTTAAAAAGACCACTTAGAATGAAATGAAACTCTTCAAGGTATGAAATGCATAATGAAAGGATCTTCCTGATTTTCATTGTTGATCATGATAAAAAGGATATTTTAACTGAGGCTGTCATATTCCACATTATGGCAGACTTTAAAAAGAAAAGCCTGAAGGAAACAGGAGGATGGGTGATGCTGAGGGGCAGGGCTCTATCTGCAGTGTAAGAGGGAGAGCCATCGACATCTCCCGTGATTTTTTTTTAAAGATGTTATTTATTTATTTAACAGAGAAACAGAGAGGTAGAGAGAGAAAGAGAGGGCACAAGCAGGGGGAGCAGCAGAGGGAGAAGCAGGCTTCCAGCTGAGCAGGGAGCCCAATGCGGGGCTTGATCCCAGGACCCTGGGATCATGACCTGAGCTGAAGGCAGACACCTAACCAACTGAGCCACCCAGGTGTCCCTCCTGTGATTTTCTTAAACACAGCTTCTGATGACGCCCAGTGGCCCTAGAGGACTTGCAGTACAACAGTCAGAGAGCTAACAGGTCTGGTACGCTTCAAGGCCAGACATAACTTGAGTACAAACCCTGGCTCAAGTGCACGAAAACTGTGTGACTTCAGGCCAAGTTCTTTACCTCTCTGGGCTGCAGTTTCTTATCTCTAAAATGGATATGACACCCACTCTGTCAGGGAAGCTGTAAGGATTTCCAATGTCATGTACAATTTTGATACAGGAATGTCTTGGCTGGACTTCCCTCAAATCATTCGATTTCACCCTTTTTACTTTCAGAGAGATTAATTTAGTCAGGCTTGTGGGCACTCAACTGAAGATGTAGCAAAGAGCACCATTTCAGACAAGAAGAAAGCCAAATTGTGTAGTTGTGGTGCACAAATAGCATCAAATGGCAATCAAATGGTAATCGCAAGCGTTTTAGTGATATTTTTTAAAGTGTATCTCGTTTGGATTTCCATGTATCTTCAATCAATTCAGTTACCATAAAGAGAGGGTGAGGATGACACCTGCTGTGTCTGACCACAGATCCATTTGCTACTATTTTCCCCCAGCCCGGGGGCCTGCTGCCCTGTTATAATCTTTACAACAGAAGCAAACAAGCAGAACTACTTCAAGGAACGGAAATGCAAAAAGTTATCACAGAAAGATAAAAATGAGCTTCCAATTTTCTTTTTTAAATGGTGTATTCGTGCACACACACACACATTAAGAAAATAGGAGACTGAGGGCCAGAAAATGCACCTATATTGTGATGAAAGAGGGAGATAAACACATCTTTGTAGAAGATAAGTCACACAAATCACACCACTGATATCTTGGGTAAATTCCCAATCGGACAATTGCCACCTATTGTCTAAAATGCCATTCCTTGGGTGCCTGGGTGGCTCAGTTGGTTAAGCGACTGCCTTCGGCTCAGGTCATGATCCTGGAGTCCCGGGATCGAGTCCCGCATCGGGCTCCCTGCTCAGCAGGGAGTCTGCTTCTCCCTCTGATCCTCCCCCATCTCATGCTCTCTCTCTCTGTCTCATTCTCTCTCTCAAATAAATAAATAAAATCTTTAAAAAAATAAAATAAATAAAATAAAATAAAATAAATAAAATGCCATTCCTTGTCATTTCTTTTGGATACAATACCTGCCTATGCTTCCAGTCCTAAAAGGGGGCATGCAGGTAGGTAAAACACTGAGCAGCGGGCGCCTGGGTGGCTCAGTTGGTTAGGCGACTGCCTTCGGCTCAGGTCATGATCCCGGAGTCCCGGGATCGAGTCCCACATCAGGCTCCCTGCTCGGCAGGGAGCCTGCTTCTCCCTCTGACCCTCCCCCCTCTCATGTGCTCTCTGTCTCTCTCATTCTCTCTGTCTCAAATAAATAAATAAAATCTTTAAAAACAAAAAAACACTGAGCAGCTGCTGCATTTCACCCACACAGTAACCTGTGTTTTAGCACTTGACCTGCTCACCCTACTCTGGATTCATTTGCTGAGCTGAAGAACAGCACACCAAGTAAGATCCAGCCAGCTTCATTATTTTCCCTTCTCACTTCTGAACATCATTCACAATAAACCCTATTCACCCTTTTCCATATATATGTGTGTAAGAAACACTAAATGACATATTCACTGGAAACATGACTTTCTTCCCTACTTAAACAGTCAATTAACAGCACACATAAGTCAACTGTAAGTTCTTGATACTCAAAATGTGGTCTGGGACCAGGACCATCGACATCTCCTGGGAGCTTACTAGAAATGAAGAATCTTGGACTCATCTAGCACTGCCAAATCAGAATCTGAATTTGAAACAAGATCCCCAGTTGATTGATATGCACGTTAAAATTTCAGAAGCACTTTCTTAAGTGAAAAGCATGTGTGTTTTAAGTGAAAGTGACTGAAGAAGTCAGAAATTTTTTTTTTTTTTATCCTATTGTGGACAGCCAAAATGTGTGTGGGACACTGAGAAGCAGGGGGTCGTCCTAAGGACTCAGGGTTCATCCCACATTCAAAAGATAAAACCCACAGTTAACAACTATCAGATGAACACTGGCCATATGTGGAATATTGGGCCAAGTGGAGGGGGTTCAAGGATGATAAGCACAGAGCCGTTCTTCCATTTAAAACACTCACTATTCCCTCAACATAATAAAGGACATATATGACAAGCCCATAGCTAAATCATACTCTACAGTGAAAAGCTGAAGGCTTTACCTCTGAGATCAAAAAAGACAAAGATGCCCACTCTCAAACTTCTAGTCAGCATAATATTAGAAGTCCTAGCCAAAGCAATCAGGTAAGAAAAAGAAATAAAAAGCATCCACATTGGACAGGAAGAAGTAAAATAGTCACTATTTGCAGATGGCATGAAGAAAATCCAAAAGATTCCACCAAAAAACTAGTAGAGCTAATAAATAAACTCAGTACAGTGGCAGGATACAAAATCAACATACAAAAATCAGGTGTATTTCTATATGCTAATAACAAACTATCAGAAAGAGAAATTAAGAAAACAATCCCATTTACAACTAAATCAAAAAGAATAAAACACCTAGGAATAAATGTTTTTAAATCATTTCATTTTATTTTATTTTCATCATGAAAAGTGTACTCTTTAATCCTCATCCCCCTCCCCACCCCACACACATACACTTCCCCTTTGGTAACCATCAGTTTATTCTCTATAGTTATCAGTTTATTCTGTATAGTTAAGAGTCTGTTTCTTGGTTTATCTCTCTCTCTCTCTTTTTTTTTTCCTTTGCTCGTTTGTTTTGGTTCTTAAATTTCATGTATGAGTGAGATCATATGGTATTTCTCTTGCTCTGCCTGACTTATTTCGCTTAGCATTATACTCTCTAGTTCTATCCATGTTGTTGAAAATGGCAATTATCCATTCTTTTACTAATGCACACTTGGGCTGCTTTCATAGTTTAACTATTGTAAATAATGCTGCAATAAACATAGG